TCACACTGCTTTCTATGTTTGCTTCTGGACATGTACAAAGGACCATGATAGGAACCAGGATCTAGAGCAGGGGTGGGCAAACTACGGCCCTCGAGCTCGCGCTGGGGAGGTGGGTCTGGGGCTTGCCCCTCTCCAGCAGTCCAGCCGGGGAGCAGGGTTGGGGGCCGCTCCACACAGCTCCCAGAAGCAGCGGCATGTAAGCATAGGAGCAGCCAGGGGGCTCCGCTCTGCACGCTGCCCCTGCTCCAAGTGCTGCCCCTGCAGCTCCCATTGGCTGGGAACCTCAGCCAATGGGTGCTGCAGGGGCAGTGCCTGCGGATGGCGCAGCATTCAGAGCCACCTGGCCGCACCTCCGCGTAGGAGCTGGAGAAGGGACATGCTGCTGCTTCTGGGAACCACTTGAGGTAAATGCTGCCTGGAGCCTGCACCCCTGAGCCTCTCCCCGCACCCCAACCCCCTGCCCCAGCCCTGATCCCTCTCCCACCCTCCGAACCTCTCGATCCCAGCCCAGAGCACCCTCCTGCACCCCAAATCCCTCATCCCCAACCCCCCCCCCGAGCCCCCACCCCCAGCCGGAGCCCTCATCCCCCGACCCCGCATCCTACTCCCCTGCCCCAGCCCGGAGCCCCCTCCCACATCCTGAACTCCTCATTTTTTGGCCCCACCCCAGAGCCCACACCCCCAACCAGAGGCCTCACCCCCTTCCGCACCCTAACCCCAATTTTGTGAGCATTCATGGCCCGCCATAAAATTTCTATTCCCAGATGTGGCCCTCAGGCCAAAAAGTTTGCCACCCCTGATATAGAGGTTAGAGGATGGATCTGGAAATCGGTTAATTTTTGATTCTATAAACTGCTTTGTCAATGAATCACTGTGTAATCTTGTGTAAGTTGCCTAACATCTCTGTGTCTATTTCCTCTATATAAAATGAGAATAAGAATATACATACTTCGCAGTGAAGTTAAGAATCTTAATTAATGTTTGTAGGGCACTTTGAAATCATTGGATAAAAGATGCTACTGAAATGTTTTGTTCTCCAAAAATACCTGTGCTGTAAAAAATTCCCACTCTGTGCGATGATCATGCAATGTGACAAGTTGGATTTGGCTTAGCTTATAGTTCTATGTTGTAGAACACACCCCAGTAGCAAGAGCAAGGCAACCTGCACAGTTTCCACAGCCTGTAACTGCCTCTCTTTAGTTGCTTTTTCATCTGTGGAGTAGATCAGAAGCTGCAGATATCTGCGTATGCAGCTTGGTTCCTGTTTGCATTGCTACTGCTGAGCACCATTTTTTCTGGGCTAAAGAAGTGCCATGTATGGGTTACAGTGAAATTCCTTGGGCTGTGCTTATGCAACATCTTGAGGCTTTGATTCATTCCTACAAGTATTACTAGCAGTATTGTACTGGTTTTGGTTTAGTATTTTGTTTGTTGTAGCTCCCTTTGTTTTGTTGTGGAGTTGTCTAGAAGCCAACCCTTCCTGCTCCTTTCCCCCCCTCCAAAACAATTTCAGACATTGCTTGAGTACAAATTGAAAATATCTGCCACAAACTAATAAAACTGGCGGAGTTAAGGTTCACTGCCTGAATGGCGTCCCATTACATTTTAAGTGAATCCCAGCTTTAAGATGGTAAACAAGGACTTCAAGGAGAAATCCTTGAGGAGAGAGATGTTGGAGATGAGTGTCTCACAACATATAATCATTGAGAACCAAGAAACCTTTCTCCATCCCATCCTAGGAGTGTTTTACCAGTTGGCATGGCTTCCTTGTTCTACAGTATTTAGTTTTCCTAGTTTCATAGGAGATTACAAGGAAATTGTGCAGATTGAAGTGGAGAAAATTCAGGACCCAAGTGGATTACTTGATTTGTCCTGTGCAAAAACTGCTTGATTACTTTCTGCAGCTGTCAGTTAGATTATAGACAGCATCTCTTATGGAGTTGTTTTGGCCTTTCATGCGTTTGGAGAAAGGAAGTTAATTTGTATGGTTCAGATTTTTGAAGGGCTTATTTCTTCTAAAATCTTCCATTAGACAACCCTCATATCATGAGATAGCTATGTTGGTCTCAAAAACCTGACGAGATCTCCTTTTGAGCCGCACCATAACCGTGAGGTGGAATTTCTAACATGGTTAATTTTATTTTTTGTGGCAGCAATTGCAGCTCACGTGGTGAGTCATCATAAGGCTTTAGGGACTCTAATCTATTTTACATAAAGTCCCACAAGGACAAGGTGATGTTACAGACTCTCCCTAGATTCCAGCCAAATGTGCATTGGAATTACACCATAATTACTCAGTTACTCTGCCAATATTCTTCCCAGTATTCATGCTCATCCAAGTGAAGCACTATTCCATAGTCTGATAGTACGGTGTCATACATTTTTTGTTTTGTAGAGCAGGCAAAGTCCCGATGAGTGTCCACCTGTCTTTTTGCTTCATTTGATACAATTACACATGGGACAAATCCATGTCAAAAAGAAATATGTCCCAATGGCTTTCTGAACTCCATGGCTCATCATTATGCTTTGGCAGGCCGACAGTACAACTCCAAAGTCACTTTAAGCCATATTTAGTAGGAGGCAAATTGCAACGATCACCAGCCTCCAGTTGGTTCCTATCCAAGAGAGTTGTAAGGCAGCCACATGGAGCTCTCTGCATACATTTATACAACAATATGACTTGGACTCACCATCATGACAGTAATGCAAGTTAGACCTAGTGGTATTACAGAACCTGTTTCCAAGTCAGGAATAGTCCAATTCTCCCAGCACCTTGATTCAAATTTGTATTTCCCATTAAAATGATTCTATTGCTCCTTACGTACTTACAATGATTTGTCATTATTTGCTATGATTTCCCTTTGTACTTCTTATATCGGTATTTTTCAAAGACGTCCTTGGAGCTTTGTAATATCCACCGAGCGGTCGTTTATTACACCAGGTATCTTTTCAAGAAAAAGTTAATTACTCTGCTTTTATTCTTGTTCTCTGAAGATATATAGTTACATTGGATTACTATTCACTCTGACACATTTCTTCAGCGTGGGAGAGAAGATTTTTTTCTCCTATCCCATCTTGTCTTTCTATTTTGTCCTGTTTATTTCAGAGGGGACTAATGGTAGGCAATTACAAGCTATTAAAAGTCTATACAGGCAAATTTACATCTCCTGCTAGCTGTCAATCTACTTATTTAAAACTTAGAAGTCAAATCCTAGCTATCATATCCAACAGGTTATCATAAGTCCAAATGGCTTTCTGAACTCCATAGCTCCAATGTTTCCTTGTGGCACCTAAAAATCTGCAGAGCCTAAGTTTTACAAACAAGTACATTTTATTTTTACTCCCTGATGGGCTAGTTCCTCCTTTTCTGTGGCTGTACAAAAGAAAAGTACTTTAATTTAGAATGCGGTTCTACTCTTAAAAAATGATTATGCAAAAATTATTATCTGTGTTGTTATTATTATTATGACCTTACTTACCACAGCTGCTCCCTGTGTGTATTGAGAATAATAGCTAATTATTTTTCTGACCAAAGAAGTGTGTACTGCTTTTTATTCCTGCAAAGCCAGCACAACTATGGAAGAGTGAGCTTGGATTCTGTTGTGATTCATGCATTCGCAATAGAAATCATAACCAATCATTTTCAAACTTGGGTGTCAAAGTCATTGCCTACGTTCTAACTGAAAAGACAAATTCTGCCCTCATTTACACTTTACATAGTCTTCAGTGGAAATGCACATGTGTAACTGAGGGTAGATTTTGGCCTGAATAAACCTTATGACAAATGACACATAAGCCAGAAAATGCCTCCTCCCTCCTCCTCCATCTATCAGATTCAAAGTTGCATTTTGAGGGCTGGCAATTAGAAAAATCATTTAATTATTAGAAAACTGAGATAAATTGATAAAGATGTTAATCGGCAAAAAAAGAAACATGGCGCCTCAGGATGCCATTTTTTGAAGAGTAATAATATAGCAAAAGTCAGCTTTTCAGTGTGTAAACTCCTTCTTAAAGACAAGGATATGCTTAATATCTTAATTGCTTGCTAGTTTAGCAAACTTGTTTTGCATTTGGAATTATCTGTAATGCCTTTAGCTCTTTTTTGGAAGATTTTTTCCCCATCTTGTATATAACTTATCGGTACTTTATTTCATACATAATTTTTTTTGCCACAGTTCACATAAGCAGTTTCAGTTGGTATGATAGTCTTTAGTTCCAGTCCTAAATTTTTCGTGTAGTATTACTGTAAGCCTGTGGTTCTCAACCGGGGCACACATACCCCTGGGGTTACACAGAGGTCTTCCAGGGGGTACATCAACTCATCTAGATATTTGCCTAGGTTTTTTTTTACAACAGGCTACATAAAAAGCACTAGTGAAGTCAGTACAAACTAAAATGTCATGCAGACAATGACTTGTTTCTACTCTTCTATATACTATACACTGAAATGTAAATATAATATTTATATTCCAATTGATTTATTTTATAATTATATGGTAAAAATGAGAAAGTAAGCAATTTTTCAGTAATCGTGTGCTGCGATATTTTTGTATTTTTATGTGTGATTTTGTAAGCAAGTAGTTTTGAAGTGAGGTGAAATTTCAGAGTAAGCAAGACAAATTAGACTCCTAAAAGGGGTACAGTGATACGGAAAGGTTGAGAGCCACTGCTGTAAGCTATTAAACAGGTGTCAATAGTCCACTTGTAGGATGACAGCATTTCTGTGGTTTGTATATCGTTTCTTTGTGTATTGTTTCTGAGGAACTTTGAAATAATTTAGGATAAAATGTAAGTTGGTAATATCATTATATTACAACATACTTTTTTTGCTTTGTACCTATTGCTTAGTACAGCTGCATCAATTATCTGTTTAAGTTCAGAAATTAAAACAAAAGACAGTATTGTGCCAAGTACTGCAATGATAACTGAAAATATTTGAATAATAAGTATTGAACAAGAAAAATAAATAGGTGGTAACACTGTATAACTTTCCCCTTTAGTCCCAGGGCAACCGCTGAACTTCAAAGCAGAACCTGAATCTGAAACAAGCATATTACTTTCTTGGACCCCTCCCCGCTCTGACACCATTTCCAGCTATGAACTGGTTTACAAAGATGGAGACCAGGGTGAAGAGGTAAATGAAAATGTACTAACCTTTTGTATTTATTTAATGGAATAAGACATGAAAGGCTGCAATGATTGAGAAGTACAAGCTTAGCTGCTTTCCTAGTATATGAGAATGTTGACATGATATGGTTTGTTAAACAGAGCAACCAGCTTGATGGCAGATTCTGAGCACGGTTACCAGCAAGGCTCTGTGGCTACTGGCCAAGGGAAGCTTTACGGGTGTTCATGGAAAGGCAGGCATGGAGGTTGTTCCCAGTTCCAAAGGGGTAATGCTAGTTCAGGCTGTCCAACCCTTTACGGCCTCCAGGGCATGGAGTTCACAGACTTTGCCCAGCTCTTAGGAATGACCCATAGGAAGAAATTCCAGCCCCACTGCAGTCAATGGGGCCAGGATTTCACCCATAATGAATAGTTATTTCTGTTAGTCAATAAATGAGAATCTTGTAAAACATGGTAATTGGTATTTTTCAGTGTGCCTCAGGAAGAAAATACATTTTTCTAATCACAAGATACCCTTTTTAGATGTTGTTGTTTGCTCTTTATTAACAATTAGCATTTTAAATGTTTCTTTGGCTGCACTAAGTCAATCTTTTTTTAAAAACAAGTCTCTTCTTATTTTTTCTGTTCAATTTTATAAAGCTGATTTCCAATGCAAAGAACGGAAGTGGTGGGCTCAGGAGACAGCGGGAGCGTGCTAGATATGTCAGTGCCCTCCTGCGTCACTATCTTGTTGCTCTTTTGGGAATACAGCAAAAGCTGGTTACTGCTACTTCACTGAGTTTAGGTTTATAGAAGTTCTTTACGTGTACTGAAGACATGTAAGCACATGCTCAGCAGCTAAAAAAGACTGCTAAGAGGAGAGTTCCCAGATCTATCTTTCAATTCCATATGAAATATATGCCCCTACCTAAACTTGTACTATGTCCTGATCATAGGTCCTTGATAATATTTATACCTTTAGAAGAATTTGCGTCTTAAGATTTTGAATGCAAATCTAACAATAGGCTAGCCTTAACTCCAAGATCACCCATCCCATAAAAGTCCAATTTCACTGGAGTGATAAGTATATGTAGATAAGTAGATGAGGCTCTAGTCATCTGTCAGTGTCCAAATATTCTTTTAAATTTTGAACATAATTATTTAATCCCTTTTAAACTGTCAAACAAAATTTCTCCCTAGCAGCTTGATACATTGAACTGCTTATTTTAAAATTTCATTCTTCATTATTTATTTATTGTAGGTAATAGATTCACTTTCCTTTCATTGTTTGGTTAAGATTACTTTGTTTAAAATGCTACGTTCACATTTTTAAAAGAAGTTTTAAACAAATTAATCCCATTGATGCCGTTGTTATCAGTGTCTCAGGGGGGCTTTTCTCCTTAGACAACGTTCTGAATAAGTATCTTTGGATATTTATCAATACGTCCAGTTCTCTTATTGCTTATCTTTAGCAACGTGTTTCTATTGAGCCAACTACATCTTACCGCCTGCAAAGCCTGAAGCCAAACAGCTTGTACTACTTCCGTCTGGCTGCCCGCTCTCCACAAGGCCTGGGTGCTTCAACTGCAGAAATCTCAGCGAGAACCATGCAGTCAAGTAGGTGTCTCTCCTTGCTTGCTTTATTCTGCTCCTTGTATCTGCTGAGCAGACACAGCCAGATAAGCCAGTAAGACAGCAATAGAGAGCAAGAGTCTCAGTAACACGACAGCAGGACAGTGCTTAAGATACATATTTATAATAGATAGGCTTAGAAGAATTGCTTTTGGATTATTATTGGCTTTTGCATATCCTTAGGAGAAGAAGCAGAACATCTTCAGAATGTCTAAAGAGACAGAACTATGATGATATCAGTATAGCTTCTAGGTGCACCACTAGGCATACTAATGATCTTCCATGCATGGCATGCCTCCTATATAGTCTGGAGCCTTAAAATTCCTGCTTGGTCATTTCCTGCTCCACAGTGTGAATTCCATAAAATTTATTTCCTTTTATCCAGATACGCTCTTCCTGCAGAAAATGTACATTTGAAGGTTCCAGGACTGTATGCACTAACAGGCATGCTGATAACTATGGTTATTCTTTCTAAGTTTTGCCTAATGTTTTTTTGACCAATCTTTGGAAGGTGGGCACCTTAGTATTATAGGTCATTTTGATACACACAAGAAAACTACATTCTATTGGCTGTTTATGTAAACAATGTGAGTAATTTATAGGGCTTAACTGAAATAATCTGATGGGAATTCATATAGGAATTTAAAAACATGTAAATTGAAACTTAACTAAAGGGATCTTCTTCAGGTAATGGAGAATTGCATCCCAAAGATAGTTCATATAGTCAGCTAAAGTTTACTTTGTGTAATTCTTTAGCTTTACTGCTCCATTTTCAAACTTTATTCCATCATGTCTTTAAATTTTCTGTAGGCTGATTGGTTCATTACTTTTAGTGAAGTAAGGTTATTTAAACGAATACTGCAAAGCCTCATTGAAATTCTGGTATGCGTCAGTCAGCTCGAGCTATTGTATTTATACTGTCACGCTTTGCTAGTGTTTGATGAGATATTAGTAACAATTAAGGTACCTGAAGAACTGTTGCTTTAGAGTTTGAGTTTTATGAGTAATGTGAACTTCCTGAGGCATGTCTGTGGCATTTTAAATAAACACAAAGGACCCAATTATGCTGTCATTTGTGCAGCCCTTATCTAAGAATCAAGTATAATGTTGTGGGGCACTGTCATTTTAATTATGCAAAATCAGTATTTAGATATAGAAGAAAATTATTTCCTTTCATGGGGACCATTTCAGTTACACATGAGAGCATGAGCATCATAAAAGGTGGGTGGGAATTGATTTATGTGTGGCTACAAGTTAAATATTTAAGGCCCAATCCTGTACTCTGTGCACAGTCAAAATTCCCATTGATTTCCATGTCCTGGTTATGTAAGAAAAAAGTAAATGGGACAGGGCCAGTAAGATGACATTACACTATGTGTAGCCTTCTTTTTATTTTACATATTGAGATAATACGTGAAAAAGTGCAAAGGTTATATATGAAAAGAAAGTAGCCGGCAGTCAGACTTTTGCAAGAGATCCCATTGAAATCAATGGCAAACTTCCAATTTACGTCCATGGTATATGATAAGACCTAATAGATTTGCTTACTAGATTGCACATGGTGTAAAAATCACCTTGCAAAGTAAAGGAGAAATTGCATTGTAAAAAAACAATTACACAAGATAGAATGGTTTGCATTTATTTTAATATAATGTTTTTAAATAATTAGGAGTTTGGTGGCACCTTAACAGATTTATTTGGGCATAAGCTTCCGTGAGTAAAACAACCACTTCTTTGGATGCATGGAAGAAGTGCATGTTTCTGCATGCATCTGAAGAAGTGGTTTTTTTTTAGCCACGAAAGATTATTCCCAAATAAATGTTAGTCTTTAAGGTGCCATCAGACTCCTCGTTTTTGTGGATACAGACTAACACGGCTATCCCTGTGATACTTAAAATATTAGAAATCTCTCACGGATACAGCAGAAATATTCTCCAGAGTTTTTTGTAACCTTCAGTCATGGCTTCAGAGAAAGCTGCTACAGGGATATCTGTCTGTCAGTATGATATCCTGAAGGAGTCTTTTCACTTCCTTTTATACTTCCTGCACAGATTCATGCTCTGTAGCGTAATGACCAGTATACCCTGTGTACTTGATTTCTGCCTTGATCATTGACATTTTTATAAAAGAAAAAAGCTAATCTACCCCTTCAACTCCTCCAGATGCTGGTAGATTCTCACTTATTTTCCCCCCGAGAAGGGTAAAATACCACACTGAGGAACATCCATTGATCCACATAGAAGATCTGTGAGGATCCAAAAGATACATGTGTAACTGCAGTGGGTCACAGCAGGGCCCTATAACTCTTCAGCTGCTTTAATTATCTTTGATGTGCCAAGAAGTAGTACCAAAAATCCATTTGTTTTTCCTTTACGGATATGGGGGAGAGACTAGATCACACACAATGGGCAAGCATTTTAGCTGTCTTCTTAATACAAGCTATATTTGATCTAAATGATGGGTGCTCATGTGAAGTAAGATACAGTATAAATTCAGAGCTTTGTATCTTTGTGCTTTGTTTTGCTAGGGAAGTCTTTTAGTAAGATTTAATAGCTATTTTGCTGACAAAATGCGCGGAGGTGGTAGTTTATTGAAATTACCAAAAAAATTGCTGGTAGGATTTAATTCTTCACTAGCAAAGGTGTCTCCAAGAGGAGTTAAAAATATAACTGAGAGCTGATCTAGGGTAAGTACAAGGTACAGTCAGAATCAACAAGCCTGTCACTTTTTGTCCTGGTAGGTAAACCTTTGACTAAGATTTTCTTCATCTTCTATTGACTTTGCATGCTTTGACACTATGTTGGCTACAATAAATGTTTAAATAAATGCTTTCCATTTAAACATTATTTGTAGTTAACTTGATCCAGGCAGACTCAGTTGTAAAAAGAAAAATGAAAATATAATCTTTTTTGGGGGGGAGGGACAGGAGGGAAGTTTCAAAGGGGCTGGGAATTTCTCAAGCAGTTTCTAGCAATTATTGCAAGTTATCTGGAATATAGTAAAAGGGAAAAAAACTATTCAATGAATGTAAGACTGACTGTACAGAATAGGTTAAAATTTGGCAAAAAAGACATACATAAAATAATCTTTTAAAATATCCTAACTTGCACTAATTGCAAACATTACAAGGGTAGATGAATAGACATATAAAAGCATCACGTTTTGTTTTTATTTGAAGAAGAATTTTAATTGCAGGTACGTAATATTATTTTGAGGCTTCATTTTCATGTATTTCCCCCACATCCTTTTTCACCATTTAGTTGGTTTATTCATTTTTAATTTCTTCACTTTAATAAGCCAAGGTGCATAAGATTATCTGATGTTTTGCTTTTTAAGTTTCTATGGGTTTTGGTTTTTTTTGTTTGGTTGCCCTTTTTATTTATTTTCATTTTTTCTTTTGTTCATGTTTTTTTTTTCAACCACTCCTATCCTTTCACTCAAATCCTCCTCTAACCCACTACTGAAATTAGAGCCATCAGCTCCTCCTCAAGACATTAGTTGCACCAGCCCCAGCTCCACTAGCATTTTGGTAAGTTGGCAACCTCCACCGGTGGAAAAACAGAATGGCATTATCACAGAATATTCAATCAAGTACATTGGGATTGATGGGGAAGATGACAAGCCCCATGAAATTTTGGGAATTGCTTCGGACACTACTCAGTACCTTTTGGAACAGTTGGAAAAATGGACTGAATACCGGATCTCTGTGACTGCCCACACTGATGTCGGACCTGGCCCAGAGAGCTTATCAGTATTGATTCGGACAGATGAAGATGGTATGTTGCCTCCACTACATCCGTTTGCACCTCTATGACTCTCTCTCGATCTGCTGTCTTTGTATAGGCTAACAGTATTCCTTTTTTGTCCCTGCTCCTCTTTTTCCCAAAATCACTGTTACTGTCACCATTTGATTGTTTTAATCAAAGGTCTGCCTTTGCTACGTCAGTTTTGAATTTTTCTTTAAGCACAAAGTGGTTTTTTTTTTTTTTTTTGAAATTTAAACTTCTTTCCCTTTTTACCTTCCCAGATTTCTTTTTCCCCCCCCTCCTCTTTTTTTAAAAAATTAACAGTTTTCACAGGGGGAATCTTTCTACTTTTTTTTTGATTTTTTTTTTTTAAGTCTTCTATCTGATGAGCTTATGTCTTTGATTTTTAAAAATGGCCTTCTTGTTCTTTGGTGCATTTAAAAAAAATCTTTTGGAAAACTGATGCTCTACATATTTTTATTTTAAATATCTAGGTTGTCAAATGTCTTCCAAATCCGAATATAACAGAAGATGTCCCAATTATCAACCACCTTTTTGTTCCACTGCAAAAAACCCAAACCCAACCAAAACAAAAGGGAACTTTTTTTTGAAATCTTTTGTTTTTTTATTATTATTATTTCAATTACAAAATATCTCTTTGTACTTTAATGCTTTGAATCTCAAAGCATCTTCCTTGGCTTTTGTACATTTTTACATGTTTTTCTATTTCTCTAATACTCTTTTTTCTTCCATTTTTTGCATCAGTCATGTTTTTTGATCTTTTCACTGAAAGGTAGAGCAGATTGGTTGAGCATTTTCGTTTGTTGAACAATTTGTATTCTTCAAAGAAAACGTAGTGGGTCTGCCCTTAAAGAGAGAGAGAGAGAGAAAGAAAGAAAAAGACTCTAAATGGGTGGGACAGGTGCCTGTAATTCTGTTTTATCCAATGATGTTGTTCCAGTTCCTAGTGGTCCTCCTCGCAAAGTCGAGGTAGAGGCTGTCAACTCTACCTCTGTTAAAGTGTCATGGCGCTCGCCTGTACCCAATAAGCAGCATGGTCAGATCCGAGGATACCAGGTTCACTATGTGAGGATGGAAAATGGAGAGCCAAAGGGTCAACCCATGCTGAAGGATGTCATGCTGGCTGATGCACAGGTAACTAGATTATTTTCTATTCTGTTTATAGGCTGCAGTAAAAATGCTGCATTTAGAAAATACATATAAATAACTACCTGTCTTTCCCTCTCTCCACTTTGGCCCACAAGCTGACATGTTTTATTTCCATTTTAATAGGTTCTCCAGAATGGTTATGTTTACAGTTTCTTGTGCCAAATTCAGACAGCCTGTGTATGCATACATGAGGGAAAAACCAGCTAAGTTTAGTGCAATTCTTTGTAACCATCTGCAGGCTCCCCTAAACCCACACACTTCATGATCTGCATGTCCTCTGGAAGAGTGCCAAAGGGCATCCAGGCAGATCATAGTCAGTGCCTTTTAGCATGTGTGCTGTCTGATCCAGCCACCAGATATTTCACACAGATAACTTATTCCTGGGTGGAATACTCTGTTCAATGTTTTAGCATCAGAACCAGAAGTAGGCAGATTAGAACCCTGCTTTGGCACATCTAGTACTGCCTTGAAAGCATTAGTGTGTACCCATCTCACCACTCTTATCAAATGAGGCCTGAATATTGTGTCATAGTTTTAGAACTCACTCATGTATTTAAATAACACAATACATCATTCAAATCAATAACTATCAAGTAAAATGAGGGTGTTTTAAAAATTTAAGGTTGCTTCTGCTGCTCAGCAGATGCTGAGAAAGTGGTTTGATCTGTTTTACAAATCATGGCACATGACAGAGAAATCTCTGTTCTGGGGCACGTATTTGATCACATCGAGATCAAAAGAACTTCTAATATTAGGATTCTAATGGTAGGGCTATACTTATGCTTTGTGGACTTCGAGATTACCTGAATTATGCCACTGATGTATACGTCTAAGGGAAAGCTATAAATGTTTGCACACCTCTCACAGCCCGGGCTCGTTTTGTATGTGAATAATGGGAAGTCATCTAGGGTGACCAGATGTCCTGATTTTATAGGGACAGTCCTGATTTTTGGGTCTTTTTCTTATATAGGCTCCAATTACCCCCCACCCCTGTCCCAATTTTTCACATTTGTTGTCTGGTCACCCTAAAGTCATCAGATATTATCACCTTAATTGAAAATAAACAATTAAATCTTAACCAGTTCTATGTTTCATGTTAGTAAATGATGGCAGCCCCCTCCGCCCCACTGCAACTCTCTATATTCGTTGGGGGGGGGGAGGAGGGGCACTGATCTCTTGTCCCTTCAATTTTGTTGACATGCCTATTTAAATAGTATTGTGACAGTTCTCAAGAGGTCCATTTTCTTGTTTTACATATTTATGTATTTATTTATTTGGCAAAACATTGTGCTCTCGCAGTTTAAACAGAATGAACCATAAATGCCTGTGGTTTACTACAAATTTGCAATTATGAGTGTGGCCGGGGTCCTAGTGGGGAGCCAGCTGTGGTCACTCAATTAGGGGGAACTGCAAAGAATGGGGCAGACAATCCCCATAAAGCTGGTGGATAGTCCAATACGTAGATTTACCAAGCCAGCATAAAATAGCTTCTTTATTACCTTACTGGTTACTCAGAAGTCCAAATAACACAGTTCCCTTAAAGTGATCCAGCCTCAGGCCTCCATCCAGGTACCCACGTCAGATATGATGAACATATCTGTAAATCTTACTTCATCTTATAAAAGAAAAGGTTCTACCAATCCCAAGGGATCGGACACATTACCTCCCAAGTTAATGAATGTTTCAGATCTTACCCACATACACGCCACAGCCAATTCTTATTAACTAAACTAAAATTCATTAAAAAACAGAGAGAGTATGGTTAAAAGATCATTATACATACAGACATGAGTTCAATTCATTGAGGTTCAGATTCATAGCAGAGATGGTGAGCTTTGTAGTTGCAAAGAGTTCCTTTAGAATTCAGTTCACAGGTCATAGTCCAATGTCCAAATCTCATATTCCGGGGGTACCAGCATAACTGGGACCTCAGTCTTGCGACTCAAACTTCCCCTGATGAAGTCTAAGCAGATCTGAGATGACAGAATCAGACCCAAGAATCTTTTATACAATTTCATGGTACATTTCAAAGGGAGATGAATACTGAGATATTCCGTGTTTACAATTCATTTCAATGCTAGGATCTTCTTTTGACCTCTGAATTATCAGAATATAGCATAGACAGGGACTGTTGATTACATTGTCCACCCTACTCATACATATGTAAATACACAAAAACACAAACATTATCTCCGCACATGTCTTTTGAGGGTTATTTATTTTGCAGGGTGTTTAACCCTTTCTAGCCATGCGTCACAATGAGAAAGAAAACAATAAGCCTCTGAGCTTCAATTCTCCCTTTGTCTTGCTCAGATATCTGCTTTCAAGCTCTGTGTGGCCCCAGTTCTGACTCCATTTTAAATTGGAGAAGGTGGAAAGAGAGAAAGTGTGTGTGCAATATTGGCACCAAAACACCATCCATGCCAAAGCCAAACTTGCTCATTTGTAGGTTTCTTTAGTGTTTGGCTCTTAATTGCTAGTTCCCTCATTGGCACATTCTAACCCCCTCTCATTTATTTCCCTGAATGTGTGTTCTCTTGACATATGCAATGAAAAACCAAATGATGGTAACAGGGCTTCATTACTTCATTTCAAGTATGTATACACGTTGCAGTTATGAATCTAAATAGGTGCACTGATGTAATTTGGACAGGCTAAATTGAAATGAAAATGAATGTAGCCTTGTAACATATGATTAGAAAAACAGGCAGCCTTTCATTCTATATCAGTGGCTTTCATTAATACAGTCATAAAATATTACTGAGCAATAATAGCATTCAGTACTAGGGAATATGTCGTTCTTTTACCCTTCAAGGAAAGAAAAGTTACAATTTTTGTACCACCCCCGGTAATAAATATGGAATTGAAAATGCCCAGTCTAATTTCATTAACCTGATTTCAAAGGCTATTTGATTTTGCCAGCCAGTTTTTGGAGATTTTTGGTTTTTGTTTTGTTTTTTTAAAATTTATTTTTACTACGAACAACAAAATTGCCTCAACCAGGCTACAAACCTCTCTTCATTTCTTTTGTTTTTCTTTCCACCATTCTTTACTCTCAATCAGTGGGAATATGATGATACTGCCGAACATGTGAGTAGTTGTTGACTGGTCAGACAAAAAGTGTGTGTGTTGTTTTTTTTTAACCTCTTTCTGTTTTGTAAATGTTTTTGTCATTTGCACAAATGCATGTACTAACATATTATTGAAATTTTCCTCACTTTTTTTTTCTTTGTTCTGTGAGTTTGGCATGGTGCTGAAACGTACAACATTGTTTTGTGTTTTTGTTGGTTTTGATGGCTGTAACTAACTTTGCCTGGCAATGCAACCAAAGAAACTATGCTTTAAAAGAAGGTATTACAGAAAGAAAACCAAAACAGTTTGGATTTGCCTAGTAGTCAGTCACCCTTCAGGTTCAGTGTGTAGTGTGCAGCAGAAGTACAAGTTCATCTTTCTTTTTGTTTGGAATATGTGTCTGTTTTGTACACTTCCCAATCAAACCTAGGAAGGTAAACGTCCCACAGTATTTATGGCCTAAGAAATGTGTTTATTACATTCAAATTGCCTTTTTAAAAGACACTACTGTATGCATTTATTTATCCTTGCATACAGTAGAATACAACATACTCCAAATGAGGCTAGTGTGTGAATCATTATTTAAAAGAAAACTGTCATTTGTTTTGCTTTTATAGTTTTAAGTTGTCACCATCATTTGTAATTGCCTTTTGAAAGACTGAAAGTGAAATGTCTTTCCTCCTGACTTTGCCATTTGGGTAGAATTCAGTTTGGGGATGAATTTTCAGATTTGTTCTTTTTTATTGGAAACATTTCACCCATCCCTTCTCATTGTTAACTAGTACTTTTGGTACTGCTAACAAGTGACTGAAAATATAGGGCCAGATTTTAATTTCATCTGTACAGTGTTCCTATCCTCATATTTTGAAAAATCCATTTACCGTGGACAGTTGGGCCCATAATTTTGCTGTTAACTTCTATGGTTGTTGCATTTGAAGATTACATGATTGCACATTTGCTATTTATTCTTGACATTGAAGTGTGCCATTCCTTTAGCAATGCTGAAATTAGTGTAAATCCATTCAGCCACACAGAATTGAGAAGGAGTGCAGGTTAGTGGTTATGACTGAGAACTGGAAGCCATGATAACTGTGTGACTTTGGAAAAATAGACTTCTCTGTTCTTCAGTTTACCCATGAATCAGCAACAGACTAATAATGCTTATCTGCCTGATTGATGTATCAAGACAAAACTTTCTCTTGCTGCCTTTGAGCAAGAACAAGTCTTTATTTCAGGTGGCCTCCATGTGTATATACATGTGTGAGTGAAAAGGTCTCTTTTGGTTTTTGCATATATTACACCCTGTTCTTTGTATTGGTTGAGAATTGATCCATTCTGTTGCTGGTGTACTTTGCCTAAGAGCTCTGGGGTTTGCTCTAACAATGCTGATTGAGTGGTTCTTTGAGATTTTGAGTAGTTAGCAATTTGTAAAGCACTTTGTGATTCCTGGATGAACAGTGCTGTAACAAGTACAAGTTGTTGTGAAATCTATATATGAAGGCAAATAGTGTTTCTGGTGCACTGTACTTAGTGTATTTTGAAATAGCTTTAGAAGTGTGGGTAAAACTGGAGCTCTCTGACTTATTGCTAGTGATTTCATACCTATGTCAATAATGGCCAGTAAACTACTAGGTCAAACTTATTTTTCAACTTGCTTTAATTTCACAATAGCAGTAAGACTCTCCAGGCAATGCATTTCAGGATGATTATTACACCGGTCACATCATTCGTTCTTTGGCCTAAACCATATAAAACTACCTGAAGCATGCTACTTAGAAATGCCCTGTCTGTTTTACTTTTAAAAAGTGAAACATACTGCATTACAAAGTGTCACACTCACAAAACATTCTTCTGATACACTCCAATGTGTATCTTCGTTACAGGTAGCACAAAAGCATATGCACTTTATGTGATATGTAGCAATTGACTAGATTATTCTGCACCTTCTTAATAAGGAATGAATTTTTAATACGTGTTTTTGTTGTTTTATTTCATCTCAGGAAATGATCATTTCTGGACTACAGCCTGAAACTACATACTCCCTCACTGTGACAGCCTACACAACAAAAGGAGATGGAGCACGTAGCAAGCCCAAACTAGTGTCTACCACTGGTGCAGGTAATACTTGGATACCCCTTCATCTCTGAATTGGCTGTCTCTCAACTTGCAATACTTGTTTTGATACACCTGCTGTATGGAAGCTGTCTCTAGTGCAAATGAAGGTGTTTGTAGGACAGAAGGAGTCTTTGGTTTGTAAGCAGATGGAGCTTTCTTCATTTGAGCCAAAAAATGGAACAAGTCCCCATCCTAGTCCCTTCCTAAATTCATGATGTAGCAGAAAAATGCTGTTTTCACTATAAACCTATTGCCAGATAATTTCTCTCCTGCCCCCCACAATATATTTTCTAAGCAAGGGGAAAATCAGCAAGTGGCAAAAGGAGGATTGTCCTGACAAATGCCAAAGAATCAGAGTAGACTGCAGGAAGCAGGAGCAAGAAATGTTCTGCCAAATGGACAGTACCCATCTCTCCCCGCAGAAAAAGAAAATACTTTGTGAGGCACCAGGCCTTTAAAATTTGAGTTCCCATAGTAAAGGAGAAAGGCAGTCTTATTTTCCTTACAAATGTTCATTTTTTTGGTTTTAGAACATGGCCATAAAAACATTCCATACCTATCATGATAAATCATAACAGCCCTCTAACCCTTTTATAAACTATCATAACGATAATCTATGGATTATGTAACTGTGGAAAGTCAAACAGTATATATGTTATAACTACCCAGGCTGAGCTTTTCAAAGCAGTCTAGTGGGTTTAGAAACACATCTTCAATAATTTCAGCAGCAGATATAGCCATATCTCCTAGACTATTTAGGAAAATCTCAACTATAGTGACTAGATCAGGGGCGGGCAAACTTTTTGGCCTGAGGGCTGCATCGGGTTTTGGAAATGGTATGGAGGGCTGGGTAGGGGAGGGGGCATGGCCCGGTTCTCACCCCCTGACAGCCCACCCCCGGGACCTCTGCCTCATCCACCCCCCCTGCTCCCTGTCCCCTGACTGCCCCCAGAACCACCGTCCCTGACTGCCCCCCGCCGCCCCGTCCAACCCCCCCTCCTTTCTGACTGCCCCCCCCGGGTCCCTGCCCCATCCAACCACACCTTTCCCCTGTCCCCTGACTGCCCCCAGAACCCCTGCCCCTGACTGCCCCCCGCCGTCCTATCCAAACCCCCCCTCCTTCCTAACTGTCCCCCAGGAACCCTGCCCCCATTCAACCCCCCTGTTCCTCGCCCTCTGACCGCCCCGCCCCCTATCCACACGCGAACTCCCCTGCCCTTACCGCGCTGCCTGGAGCACTGGTGGCTGGCGGCACTACAGCCACACACTGCACAGCACAGAGCACCAGGTCAGGCCGGGCTCTGCGGCTGCGCTGCCCCAGGAACTCGCAGCCCCGCTGTCCAGAGCATTGTGCCGGCAGCGGGGCGAGCTGAGGCTGCGGGGGAGGGAGAACAGCGGGGGAGGGGCCGGGGGCTAGCCTCCCGGGGCAGGAGCTCAGGTGCCGGGCACGAGGGTCCTGCGGGCCGGATGTGGCCCGTGCGCTGTAGTTTGCCCACCTCTGGACTAGATTGATCATGTAGTTGCATTCCAGCTTCTACAGTACCTTCCATTCATTACTCGTGACTAATATACACTAGATATATTTTATCCAGCTCCACCTCTCCAATGAACTCTAGTAGTTCAGACAATATGCAGTCCTCAGCTGGGCCTCTTTTGGTTCTGGTGTAGGTAAAAGCAAAACTTGACCCAAAACATTTTCCAAAACTCAGTTCCCAGCTCTAATAAACACAGTAATTTCAATGATATTTTGATTAATCAAATTCATTCCAGTCTCTAACTATAATTGTACGATATGGAATGATAGAAGCAAAACTTCCAGCTTCAGCTGGTGGTATCTATATTGATCATGGAAGGGCACTATCAGCTTGGACTGTCCCAAAATTTTCTGTCCCTCTCCTTTAAAAACAAAACAAAACAAAAAACAACTCTCCAGTCACTGGAAAAAAATCTATATACTCTCCAAAACAAAGGCTGTAATGAAACTCCTCTGCTGCTTGACCTCTAAGAACAAACCCAGAGGCCTGTATTGGCTTACATCACTGGCATTGTCCCTTTACTCTACTTGATGCCATGGCAATCTGGTATATGTCCACACCTACCAGCCCACAATCTTCTGCACAAACAGGAACTCAGAATTTTGCTGCTCCATATATTTTTTCTCTAAATTAATACCTATTCAGACAATATGTTAGACCTGGCTATGGTTTATTATCTGTAGTAAGGAGGATTCTCATACAGGCATTTAGAAAAGGGAATGATAAGCATACTACAGAATGCACAGACAGATTTCAGACCCTGCCTTTTCACAAGAATAGAGTAGGCAGATGGAGGAATGATGCACTTGTACTTTCCCAAACTCACATACCAAAGCAAAGCTAATAATTCTAATTTAGGGCTTGTCAACTTCTGACAGCTTTCATTTAATGGGGAACTTCTACAAAGGAACTGTCTAAAAATACTACAAAACAAATTAAGGGCCTGACTCGCTACTCTCATTTAGACTTGTTTTAAAAGAGGTATCTCCATTAAAGTCAGTTGAGTTACATCACTGTAAAACTAGTGTTCCTGGAAGGAAAATTGGACTCTAAATGTTTCCCAGTGAAAACTCACCATATGTGAAAATCTACTTTAAGGCAGGTATGAACCAGTTGGTGATAATTAACTGTTTTACTATGTCTAGTTAGTATTTAAAAACCATAGTTTATACTTGTATGTAGGGAAGGCTTGCCAACTTTATATCACAAGTGTGAGCCTCCAGTAACCTCAGTTGATAGTGTGGTAATGGTATTTGGCTAAGGTCTCCATTCCAGAATATACTTCCCATAGCGTATTCAGTTTCCTGTTTTATATCCATTTTTAGTATCGGTAATCATATTTCTATAAAGTCTTTATACAAACAAGTTACTGTCACAAGTCAAAGAATTTAAATATTTCTTCGTGATTAAAATAATACCCTTGCCGATAGCTAGAAAAAAAAAAAGTGTCTTCAGCTTTATTGGTACCTATGATAGCCATATAAATTGTTTTTACAGCTATGTATTTTACAGTTTATCATGAATTGCAAAAGTGCAGTGCAGCTGAACTTTACTAATGCACACTTCACTAACTGCATACCTCATTATTTGCATACAAAAGCTGTCAATCTTTCTTCACTTCTCTGGAAAGATTTGACAACAGCTTGCTCTAGTGAGGTCTCATATTACTAAGATTTCATTCGTTGTATCGAACATGATGCGGTACTTCTATTGATGTACTACAAAATAGTGCCATATATAGCTAAGACAAAACTACATATATCAAATAAACGAAGTACACTCAGAGTCATTATACTCACGATAGATAGATAGATAGATAGATATAGTTTTCTGTGGTTGTTCACAATCTAAAATATTTAGTAATAGTTTCAGTGCAGCTTGTTTATGCCAGTGATGAATTTAGCCCCCAATGTTTAAAATGAATTACAATACAGCAACAAAAAAGTGTTACTATTTTATCAAGGGACTGACATACAGGAGAGAACTTAGGGCGACCAGACAGCAAGTGTGAAAAATCGGGACGGGATGGGGGGGGTAAGAGGAGCCCATATTAAAAAAAGCCCCAAATATCAGGACTGTCCCTATAAAATCGGGACATCTGGTCACCCTAAGAGAACTGGAAGTCCTTTCCAGTCAAATTTCACTTGCCATATTCACAGTCACTCTCCTGTCAGGCCCCTTGTTCTTTAGTTTCCTTTCTGTTTTTGCTTTGTCCTCCTCACTGCTCCCTCTTTTACTTCATTGTGTAACTCAGTCTTTCTGCAGTTCTTTCTCAATGTCCGAATTCACACTCATTCTGCAAATCACTGTCCTTGCCATTTCCCTCTAACAGGAACCTTTTAGTTGGTCTTTGGCTTGCTCCAAATGCAGTGGTAAGCATTCTGTTCTTACCCATAATCCTGTGATTCCCCAACTCACGTGGGGCTCAGTGCTGCAAGCGTCATTTGTTTCACCGCCACCATCAATGCCACTCCTGAGTCTTAAGAGTACGGCTAAGGTGCTTCACTCCCCACCGCGAGGGAGTATGAGGGATATAATTCAGACAGAGCAGGTTGTATGGGAGCCTATCAGAGGTGAGACACTACAGGAGTAACCACAACAGTGTAAAAGCAGAGTGAGTAGTTGCCAGCACCATAAGTACAAGCCAGGGGATCAGAGTGACACACAATTCTGCTTAGTACTTACATGTTGTGAAAATTAAAATACACCTTATCAGTTGTATATATCAGACTATTATATCTTTTACCTCGTGGTTTTGGTGACATACTAAATATGGCACCTTTACTCTGAACAGGCCTGATTCTCCCCTCACTTACATCAGTGTAAATCACTGATGTCATCGAAATACTTTTATTAGTCAGGTATATTACCAGCCAAAAGCCTTGATAAAATTTGAGCCTTATTATCAGACACTATATAAGGTGAATGGCGAGTTTGAGACAGCGCTGTTGCTTCTCGGGGACCCTGTGTTGCAGTAGGTGCAGCATCTCATCACGCCAGCACAAGTCCATAATTGTTTAGATTCATTCTTAAAGCAGAACAAAATGCTTGGCTGTGTTGAAACATACAGTTTGGACTAAGTTTTTTCTGTGCCCAGTTATGCTTTCTCAATTGAAACTAGAGCTTTAAAAGTGCCCCTGCCTTTGAAAAGGTTTGCTCCTAAGAGGTGTTAATTTACAAGATGTCGTACAGCTCATGTGCTGTACGGCAGCTGACACTGTACCTGGGTAAGTTGCTAAAGGCACCTTCCAGAAGCTTCTGTTGTCAGTGTTCTGCTCTTAGGCTGTGCTCAGCCAAAGAAAGCTTGTTCTGATCTTGTAATGGTTGTGAGGTAACTTGGTGTTTGTGACATCCTGCTGGATGGCTATGGAGATGCAATTCATTAGAAATTCAGAGAATGTCCCCTTCATAGGTACATGAATTTTATTTAGACCTTACTGAACTCAAATATTATTGGGTGAAGTCCTCTTTGGATGCAATCACTATTGTTCAATATAATCACTGGGAAACTGTAGTTCCCAAAAGACCTGACAAAATTCTGCATTTTCACCATTGGGGCTATAATAAATATAAGTCATGACAGTTAGACTCTTTTAGGAACATTTTGCCTTAAAGATTTCTAGTAAAAAGAAACTAGAAAAAAGTTTTCATTTTTATTTAAATCATTGAATTATTAACTGAAGAGGAGATCCTAGAGTACGTGGTATCATATGAAGATATGATGGGTATGTGTTGCTCTTGCCATTAGACAACATAGATGCATTTTTAATTGTTTTAATTCTTTTTTTAGTGGTTAGGCAAACGTTGCTGGCTTTTCTATTCTGCTCGAGAACTAGCTGTAATTTTTACTTCTTTTATATAGGCACCACCAATCAAACTTAAAAGAAACAGTCTTAAATGTGAGGGCTGCCACAAGAGTAAAAACAATGTATGGCATAAATAATTTAGTGACAGCTTCCCGCAACCTGTCATCTAAAAATCCGAACGAGTTATTATTCTATTTTTGTGGGCTCTTCTCCTCTTGCTTATGCTCCATTGGCTTCAATAATAGTTATAATACAATGAAAAATATGGCCTACGAGAGCATCCACAGTCTTTTCTCTGCTCCATAACTGACTCGTATCCGTCAGTGGGGAAAGGTCAGAACTCAGAGAGATACATTTTATACTACAGAAAAACATAGAAAGTGTTTGGGATCCTATTTGGACAAGAATTAGGCTTTAAAAATGAAGCCTCTGTAGTAAATGGCTATAAAAATAAACCAAAATTCATATGATATTGTAGACATTGGCCAGGACTTACGAAAGGAGTAATGAAAAAAGAGCTTATCATTTGCAGAATTTTCACCAAGAAATGGTGTTCTTGTTCTGGAATTATCATCAATAGTTCTAATTATGACTAACTGATTTTCTGGAGTTCTGGGGAAAAGATAAAATGTACAGTTCAAAAGATTAAAGAAGAGATTGTCTTTTTTGCTGTGAAAATTTGATCAGTAAACACAAGTTATCCTTTACATTTATCCAGTCCATAACATGGAGTGTCAGACTTGCATCATTGCAAGCTAATAATCCCACATCATTGTCCAATAACATTGTCATCTTTATCCATTGTACCCATTTCCATAATCTTTACATCTTTTAAATGCAGTTTTGAGTGCTTTTACCCACCCCATTTTCTCCTTATCTGCTCCCTAGCTGTCAGCCTCATCTTTTTCTTGTGCATCTGCTGACTTTCCTATTGTGAGCTGTTTACGTGTACATTTCAGACGTAATAAACTGCTTAAGAGAGGCAAGCTTTGCAACTGGTCAGTGTAATCTACATGGAGTTCAAACACATGTGAATGAAGGTCTGATAAGCAGGACCCAGGAGGAAGAATAGTGCAGTGGCTAGGATGCCAGCCTCTGATTTGGGCAGCTCATGATTAAATACCTTCTTCACCATAGACTTCCTGTGTGATCTTGGACAAGTCACTTGGTTTGTCCGTATCTCAGTTCCCCGTCTGTAAAATGAGGATAATAGTACTTCCCAGTCTCACAGGGACATTGATAGGATAAATACAAAAAAGATTGCAAGGTACTCAGACACACTATAGTGACAGATGCCATATAAGTACCTAAGGTAGGTAGATAGGATTCCTAATGGTGGTGTGCTAAGATTGCTAAGAAGAAGGTCCAGCTGACTTACCTTCTATTGTAGGTGTAGTCCCCTCCGCCCCACAAAAAAAAAAAAAAATGGTAGTAGATATGTTAGGCATCGTGAGAAACCTGTAATTTCTCCATTTTTTTTTTTACTTACAGAAATGGAAATGTTTTCCCCTGGATTAAATTAATGAATGCTTATGACAACACTCCTTTTCACAAGCGAGTACTTGTAAGCAAAGATGGGTAGTAGCTGTTTGGAAGTTTTACCTCACTTGTGTTCATACGTTCTGTGTCCCTGAATGTTCATACTTTTCTCTGTATTTGGAAAATGGGTGGGGGGAACAACAAATAATGGCTAGCTTAGTTATCCAAGTCTATTATACTGTGTGACTGAATAGTGCAGAAGAAAGAGTTATTTCTGAACTTTTATAAGATAGTTATTTGAGGAACAAAGAGTGAGGGAAAAGCAAATACAGCTGTATTCCTATTTAAAAAGCCTCAAGAATTAAATGCACATTTCCGTTTATATTTATCATCATTAAATAACATTGTGCTACAGTTCCAGGAAAACCTCGGCTTGTGATTAGCCACACACAGATGAACACGGCTCTTATTCAGTGGCACCCTCCTGTCGATACCTTTGGCCCCCTGCAGGGTTACCGCCTGAAGTTTGGCCGCAAAGACTTGGATATGTTTACAACGCTGGAGTTCTTGGAGAAAGAAGACCACTTCACAGCCACAGACATTCACAAAGGAGCTTCTTATCTCTTCAGGCTTTCAGCTAGAAATAAAGTGGGCTATGGGGAGGAGATGGTGAAAGAGATTTCTATTCCAGAAGAGGTACCCAATGGATTCCCTCAGAACCTCCATTCAGAAAGTTCCACCTCTACGTCGGTCCAATTAACTTGGCAGCCACCAGTCTTAGCAGAGCGAAATGGCATTATCACCAAATACACCCTGCTGTACAGAGATATCAATGTTGCACACCACCCAATTGAGCTCCCCATTGTTCCCGCCGATACCACTATGACACTTTCTGGCTTAAAACCAGATACTACATATGATGTAAAAGTACGTGCCCACACGAGCAAAGGGCCCGGTCCATATAGTCCAAGTGTCCAGTTCAGGACACTGCCCGTGGATCAAGGTAGGATTTGTCTGCTTATGGCGTTGTCCTTTAAAGGAATGTCGGTCTTTGGATATCAGTGTTTTTGAAGCTGTAAATAAACTGACCCGCCCATTCATGTAAATAGGTTCGACCAACACAAAAGGTAAAGTATGTAAATCTTAATATGTTTTGGATACCTTAGAATCCAGTTACCCCATGTCAAGCAAGTCTGGCTAACATCTGCACAGTATTTTCAGGTAAGGAAAAATCTAACATACTGAGATGGTATTAGATGAATGAACTTCGTAAGAATGAGGTATTAAAATGATTGTCTTAAGCAAGTCAGAGATTTGCATTTCTATTCTTTTTATCCTTAATGGAAAGCTAATAGCCCCAGCTTATTGGTAGTGGCGGAAAAGCTATAGTAGCTAAGGTTCAAGATGTAGTTTAAATACATTATTTTTCCTTTTCCAGCAGTGTTTGCAAAAAATTTTCATGTAAAAGCAGTAATGAAGACGTCAGTATTACTGTCTTGGGAGATTCCAGAGAATTACAATTCTGCCATGCCTTTCAAAGTAAGTTGTTTTCTAATTTGTAAGACATCAAGGATAAAATTGGAGGATATAGTTCAGCTGCTTAAGCAATTTACTGAGCAGGTGGATTTTTTTTGGTTCTGCTATATTTAAAAGTGTATGCTAATCAGCAATATTGACCCAAGCAGTTAAAATCAGTCCTTCGGCAATGTGAACTTTCCACCTTAGCATTAGTGCAGTGGCAGCATTCAAAACTTTGACTGATATTAGATATTACACATGCTGTGAACTCTTTGTTTGTTTATAATGCAGTGCAACAGGTCTTTCTAAACAGAGGAATTAAAAATATTAATTTTCTTTTAATGCTTCTGCTCTGTATTGTATGTAACAGAATGTGATCTTCTTTAGTCCTTTGACCTGTTCTTTAAAAAAAGAAACCTATCTGGTTTCTAACTCTTGCATTCCAATTATTTATAATACAGTCAGACAGATTTGTGTAAGTTGCAGCCTTGCCTACAATTTCTTCTGCACCATTTAAGCACTTATTGCTCACCACTGGGAAAGGTCAGCAAAGAGCAGTATGTTATGAACTTTTGTGAATATGAAAACTGGTTCAAAAAACAAGGAACCTTTAAGGATGGGTAGATCTACAGTAAACGCAAGTCTGCTGAACAGCCTTGATGTAAACAGCATGTTAAACACTCAGCTCATTTGTATCAGCATCATAAGAATTTTAAACATGTTAACAAATACATCTCTATTACCATGTACATTGTAGTAGAGGACACTTTATTTTAAATAATTATTTTTGCTGGAAAAAGAGAATTAGATTGACATGCCGTTGTCAATAACATTTTTGACTATAAAATGCTGCCGATTACCATTTTAAATTTATGGCTGGGTTCATTTATGTTTTCAGTGTATCAATACCAATCATTTAACAACTTTTTTTCTCCCAATGACTAAAAGGCCTTGAATTTTTGTATCTATTAGATCCTTTATGATGATGGGAAAATGGTGGTTGAGGTGGATGGTCGAGCCACTCAGAAACTTATCACTAACTTGAAGCCGGAGACATCGTATTCCTTTGTTCTGACGAATAGGGGAAACAGTGCTGGAGGTCTTCAGCATAGGGTTACAGCAAAGACTGCACCAGATGTACTGCGCACCAAGCCAGTCTTCATTGGGAAGACCAACTTAGATGGGATGATAACTGTGGAACTTCCTGAAGTACCTGCAAATGAGAATATAAAGTGAGTAAAGGTTCTCCAGTTGATGAGAATGGCAAGTTTCCTATATCCCAAAATTAACTCTTGTTAATCCCCAAAAGGTATAAAATGGAATATTTCAGTGAATTTTTCATCTATTATGTTTATTATTTATTTGTATTACCATAGTGCCCAGGAGCCCTAGTCTTGGATCATTCAGATAGGTGATATACAAACACAGAATACAATCTAATAGTTTTAGGCTCTCCTGGAATCTGATTGGCATAAGATAGACATTCACACATGGTTAACAAAAACATCATCGGTAGAAATTATGGGAATGCGAGTCTGTAATTGAATCCCCTGTTATGGATCTAACAATTCAGCACCATTATGGTCTCAAGTCAGCAGTTTAAACCATCATTTCCTTTTGATACCATGACACAACCTAGAAAAGGGATTTTGTAGAGCTGGTCATAAAAGATAAATTTTTCCTTTTGGAAATTTTTGACAAAGACAAAAAAACCACCCTCTTTTCATTGAAAACCCCCCCCAAAAAAAAAGTTTTCAGACAGAAAGTTTTCAGCCAAGAGCTTCCTGGTTTGTTTGTTTTTTTTGACAAAAAGCTGAAATTTTCTGTAGAAATTTTCTAGTCAAAAATCCAATTTGCCATCAAAAAATAGTTTTATCAACCACCCTCAGGATTTTGTTTTCTACAGTATTAAAGTGCAATTTGACTCTGATTATGTAAAAATGGCATTTTCGGTTATGCGTTTATTGTCTCATAGTATTTTCTAGATCAAAGGTGCTCACTTTCAGTTTAGAAGTAAAATGATGTGTTTTTATTTCACGGTCATCCCTGCAAACTGTAACTGTTCTTATCATGAATCATTACAAGTAATAAAGACGTTGCAGGCCAGCTTATGCCTTCAGTTACATTTGTGCCACCCAGGGCCGGCTCTAACTATTTTGCCGCCCCAAGCAACAAAAAAAAGCGCCGCCCCCCCCCCCCCCCCCCCCCCCCGCTCCCGCCCCCCCGCTGAGCCCCCCGCCGCCGAACCCCCCCCCCCCCCCGCGCACGGAGTGCCGCGCTGCCGAACATCCCCCCCCGCGCGGAGCGCTGCCGAACCCCTCCCCGCGGAGCACCACACCGCCGAACACCCCCCGCCGAACCCCCTCACCGCGCCGCGCTGCCCCCCGCCACCCCAAGATTGGCCGCCCCTTACCAGGTGTCGCCCCAAGCACGAGCTTGGTTGGCTGGTGCCTGGAGCCGGCCCTGGTGCCACCAATTCCCACTGAAGCAACTTGCAATATCAAGCCTCAGTCACTGCCTGGACTAGAGGAGGCTTAAAGGGCTATTGCAGGTACAATACTTTGAATGAACTAATTATATAGGCAAGAATGAAGTTAAAACCAGTAACATCCAGGTAAGAACATAAGAATGGCCATATTGGGTCAGACCAATGCTCCATCTAGCCCAGTATTCTTCAGAGCCAGTTTCTTCAGAGGGAATGAACAGAACAGGGCTATTATCAGGTGATCCATCCCCTGTTGTACAATCCCAGCTTCTGGCAGTCAGGTGCAAGTAAGGAAATAGGGAAGTGTTTGCTGGCAGTTTTGGAGAAGAGTTTACCAGATTTATCAGAGGCTGCTTCAATGTTTGGAGAAATGGTCCTGTGAAGACTTAAACAACAGAGATAGTACTAAAGAACTGACAGCACAGTGCCAGCAGGGATTAGAAAGATAGCCAGGAAAACATGAAGCATGGTATAATCAATAAGTGTTATTGCTCTGGTTCCAGTGATTCTTGTTGTTCTATAAGGTTCCCATGTGTGATGTGAAGGAAATGGGGAGGAAAATGAGCAAGTCATTAAATATTGTTGGGGATGCAACCTGCCTTCTCTCTGGTAGGTTTTTACTGTATGCTTTGTACACTGCTGTTCCCCTTTTTTATCACTGGCATTCAAGGCAGGTGAGATCAGAAAAAGAATGACGTTGAAACTTTAAAAGGGTGAAAAAGTGAAAAATGTAGCCATTTTCATTATACTGAGGAAAAAATGGTCAGTACAAATGTAGCTGAGGAAGACTGAAGATGGAACGAGTCAAAAAGATTTATGATGTAAGGCAATTATAGGGAGAAAAGAGCTAGGGATATTTAGTAAAACAGTAGCAACAGATGACAGCAACCGAGAAAGAGACAATAACTTTCCCCACAAGTAATTAAAAAAGTGGAAGACTATTGGTAGGAGTTAGGGTCTAACCTTATCATTAATGGTAGGAGTAATGGTCTCAAGTTGCAGTGGGGGAGGTTTAGGTTGGATATTAGGAAAAACTTTTTCACCAGAAGGGTGGTGAAGCACTGGAATGGGTTACCTAGGGAGGTGGTGGAATCTCCTTCCTTAGTGGTTTTTAAGGTCAGGCTTGACAAAGCCCTGGCTGGGATGATTTAGTTGGGGATTGGTCCTGCTTTGAGCTGGGGGTTGGACTAGATGACCTCCTGATGTCCCTTCCAACCCTGATATTCTATTATTCTAAACATGTAGCTCCCCTTGGATTGCATAGGTATTTGCTGGGAGAATAAGCCCCTGTTGGTGTGTTCACCACACAGAAGGCGGCAAGGACATGTAGTATGGGTTTTAACCAGGCTGCAACTTCATTAGCCAAATTGCAGCCAACTTTTCCGTCAGGGGACAGCACAGTGCAGTCACTTGCAGCCCATTGATTCTTTGCCAGTTTTGGGGGGGTCCCACCACAGAGGGAGCCAATCATCACACTAGGAGGTAGCCTGGACGGCTTCTCTTGCTCCCACTTCTGAGGGTTGAGGCGAGAAGGGATCTCCACCCCCAGAGAGCACCGCCATCAAGCACATCAGCAGGGCGGTGCCCCGGCATAGTGTCCCGGCCCCTGGTTCACATTTGCTCCCACAGGGTAAGACCCGATGCCCCCATCTCATAAGGAGACATCCTTGGGATGCCCACTATGTTACTACTTTGGATTTGGAGCCTATATCAGCAAGTTCCTGCACTGGGCAAATGCCAAAAGTTGTGCCAACTAAATGACTCTCACTTAAGTTCAAACTGTGACCTCCAGGAGGGCGAGAATCCCAGCCCTCTGCTTGCTCAAAACCCAACCCCTAGGTTTTGCTGCGAGGAAGGTGAAAAACCCAAACAACCTTGGTCAGTCTGTGGTATGGGGAAAAAAGCAGGTACTAGCCTGGCCCTCAGCCACAAAGTGCTTACTAGCTTAGCCCTCAGCAACCTAGATAAGGGAGGAAGGAGGGGCTGATGGCTGGTAACTAGCAAACAAGAAGTGGCCCTCAGCACAGGGCTCCTATCATGGCTCCAAATCTTGTGCCAAATCCCACAAGATGTCCAACCTACCCTGGATGTACTGAGGAGGCTGGATGTCTTGTGGAACCCAGTCTCGTCTGTTCTTTTTGGCACTCTCCCATTGCGGAAGCCACAAAAACGCACCCTCACTAGGCTTGGGGACCTCCGTGAGAGAGAAAAGTATGTTCATTGGGAAACAAAGCTGCATACAATAAAATGGTTTAAAGCTTAAAAGCAGTCCCTATCTGTTAAATATAACTTGAATTCTTAGAGTTTAAGGAGATAATAATAGCTGTAGTGTCTGCGAGGGAAGAACCATCTTGTACAGTAATCACCATTAAACTTTTTACAGTTATCATTTGTATGTGATTAACATTGCGCTACCATGATACTGTCTATCCTAATATGGTAGGATTACTAAATATAGAGAATCCTGCATTAATGTTAATTAGGCAAAAGGCAAAACTGATAAGAGTTTAATGGCTTTACTGTAGTGCATTTTTAATTAACACTAATGGGACATGGGGGCAATTGCTTAGACACACCATAATTTGTTAAAGATGTTGGGGGACATAACTTTCATTCTTCAGTGTCTAATAATGGGAATGAGTAGATATTGTAATAGAGCTGTGCAAAAATATTCATATCCAGAGCTAAATGGGTGTCTTTTCACCAGTTCTGCTTCAGGTAAGGTATTTCTGGCATTTTGCCAAAATTTGTGTACTTACTAAAAACAGTATTTCTGAATGAAAGTTGCTGTGCCTGCTTATGAATCCCTCCCAAGTAAAGGCGGGAAATTATGCAAGGCCTAAGTCCCAAAGAAAATAAACAGTTATGGAATCTCTTGAAGTGTTTTGCATCTTCTGTTGACCCACTTAGTCTGTTTTGTATGTTACCGGAGCCCTGGTTACGCAGTGAATGTTCTAACAACACCACAATTGACATGGCATTGCTCCCCCCAATAACTGTCAGTGCTGCATAGATATTCCTTATAGATCTAGTCAGTGTCATTCTGCAACCAACCTTGTGTGTACTTCTGTACTCCACTTTAACATTGCTTGTGTGTGTTAAAAGTGTGTGTGCAGCAGTGTGATTGGCTAATCAAGGTTGTGTGTGGCAGTCTGACACTTGGAAAGCATGACAGAGAGTGTTAGACAAGATACACTCACCTTGCATTATATGCTTTGATAGAAATTCATAAATGTGAAGGGAAATGAGTGGTTATGATTTAGTGGGGGCATTCCAATAGTCAATGCATATGATCAATTTAATCCATGATAGCCCAAGTAACCTGTTCACATACTCAGCCAGAACACATTAGTGTGCAAAGTTGTACTCTCAGCTGATTTTCTCTTAATTTTGAGGAAACCACTTTTTTAACAACTGTAATTACTGACCACATGAAATTAGGAGTCGTCTTAAGGTTGTGGCTGGGCAGGTTGAAGGAATCTACAGCTATTGTTGAGGCAAATATTTGGACTAAACACAAAATGTGTATTTAAAAATAAAACAGATAATGAAATTTTATGTGTAACTTAAAACTATACAGTTAGATCTGTGCAAAATAACAAAATTAAGAAGAGGTTTGTAGCCATCTAATGGCTTACAATAGAAAAAAGGGATAAACACTGTAATCTGAACTGACTACCTGCATGTATTGATTTAAGAAGTTGATTTTATTCCATTAGGTGAATAGCGGTAGCCTATGATAAGAGG